CCCCCCCCCGCGCATCCATTGCCCTGCAGGGGTGTTTCCTCTTCCGGGTGCAACCAGCCTTGGAAGTGCTTTGGGTCGTCCGTCCCCCCAGCGATTCAGCACCCTGCAGTCAGGCCTACGTGCTCTTAGCAACGTTGCAATCTCGGGCGGAGGATGGGGGGGCTTTGGTGGCAGGAGCTGCTGAAGCTGGCAGGGGGGGTAACTTCACCCGGTGGGATGCAATCGGGGCCCCCTCCCCCCAGCTCCTCACCGGCTCCGTTGGGCTCCAGGCCATCGCTCACGAGATTTACACGGACCTGGTCGAGGACGCCTGCCTGGGGCTTTGCTTCGAGGTGCACCGGGCAGTCAAGTGTGGCTACTTCTTCCTGGACGACACGGACCCCGACAGCATGAAGGACTTCGGTGAGTTTCCCCTTCTGGCACCGTTCCCCCTCCTGGGGCTTACAGGGGAGCACAGGCAGGACCCTCCTCGGGGTGTAAGGGCTCCGTCAGCTTGGTGCTCTAGAAATGGAGAACTGGGCTCCGAGATCTGCTTTTTCATGAGGCCCCTTCACACAGCGAGGCCCGATGCTTCCAGAGCACCCCTAGAAGCACGTGGAGGGCTTGGCGGCTCCCCTGTGGAGCTTTGAAAGGCCCTTTTTGGCAAGGGAGACACAGCTACGGTAGCTACCCAGCTAGAGGGTAAACCGGCCAGACACCCAGTGCAGACTCCTGCTCAGAGTGGGCACCCAGCTGAGATCCAGGAGGGTTCCCTGGATCAGATCCAATGTCCATCCAGACCGGTGGCTCTCAGGCGTTCCGGGTGACTGTGCAGGAGCCCGATCTGTCTTGGCATCATCTCGCTTAAAAACAACGTGTTTGCGAAATCAGCCTTCAAAATCCAAGGGCCACAGCCCGCTAGTGCCGACGCTGCACTGACTTTCTCTCTCTGCCGTGCGGTTCTAAAACAAATCCATTGGAACCTACATCTGGTCCTGGTGGTGTTCGCAGGCTGCTGTGTGCTCCACGCTGCAAGTCAGTGTAGGAAATCGGAGCTTGTCCTGCCTTCGCGAAGGCGTTGGTTGTGGCCTGTGGCAAAACTGGGCCAATAGTTAGTGGAGCGAATGTCCCCTCTGGACAGTTTCTGCGTACCCCCAGGGGCGCACGTTCCCCGATTTAGAACCCCTGGGCTAGCCCAGCATCCTGTCCCTGACATTGGCCGCCCCAGCTGGTTCAGAGGATGATGGGACAGCCTGTCTTCCTGGCCCTGTTCATTAGAAGCCGCCTTCTGCCCTGGAGCTGGTGGTTTTAGACTCCTGGTCTTTAAACCCTTGTCTTCCTCTGAGCGGGGCCGGGGCAAAGCAGAGGTGTTGTCTTGCTTGAACTAGACTGGTCCCGGTAAGGGGATGCAGCCTCTCTCGTGTGTGTGCGCAGTGAAAGCTGCTGTATGTGGGGGTAGATGAGCTGGTTCAGGAAGGGGAAAAGCTGTTGCTGGCTCAAAGCACTTTCCTACCCAGTTGCACTGTCCTCGTGCTAGGTCTTGCACGAGATTGGTTAAAAATCCCACCCTTAATCAGCAGGTCCAAAATCTGCGTGCGAGTGGCCTTGTCAGTGCCTGGCACGGTAACGCTCCAGACAGCGGTTTTCAGACCAAAGGGGTCCCCTCTACACCATCTCCCTTTGCTTCTGGCATTGCAGCTGTTCTAGGCCGCTGCCTGGCTGGGTTTCTCAGGGCTCCTGCTTCCATGCAGCCGAGCGAGGACGTTGAGTTAGGGCCACAGGGGGAATCCCCAAGAACCCTTCGCTGACTGCGTATTTATAAAGTGTGACTTGTCTGCAGTCCGACTAGACTCCTGCGCCGCTCCTCTTCCTGGCCTGACGTGAGGCCCTGGCGTAAACAGAACCCCCAAGAGGGTCGCTTTGTGTTCAGAAAAACTGAAAACACAACGAATAGTCCTGCAGTACCTTACAGACGAACAAAACCTGTCAGTGGGCCCGGGAGCTTTTGTGGGCTCAACCCGCCTCTTCAGATGACACGTTCGTGCTTTATGGTCGGTTCTTTAGAAGCATGAATGCTCACCCCCCGAGTGGAGGGCTCGCGAGCCTGGTTTGGGTAGTGGTGGGTCAGACAATAGGAATGAATCTAAACCTCAAACTTGGCCTGGATTTCATCAGGCAAGTGGAAGTTGCTTCGCAAGGCCAAGTCAGTTGAAGTCATAAGGACGCGTCTGGCATTGGCTGTGCTAATAGGGGCCTGCGTTTCTTTTTTTGTGGGGGAGGGCGAGAGGCTCTTGCAGGATGGTGGCGGAATGGGCGCTTCTGTAGCAAGGGGCTGGCTGGGGACTGGCCTTGGTAGAAAGGTGGAAGGAGGGTTTTTAGTACAATTGGTGAAGTGACTGTTTCTCTGCTCCCTGGAGTCCCAGCCCCTCGGGGATGTAAGAGTTGAACCACTTAACCAACAAACATCAGCTTACTGGTAGCAGTTGCAGTTAAACTTCTCTGTCGGCTCCCACTTGCTTCCAGCCGCTGCCCTGCACTGCGGGCTCTGAGGTGGCAGCCGGCTCCCTGGGAGCGGGACCGGCAGCTGGCACCAGATCCTGGTGTGCACTGGCTCTGGCTGTTGGCCCTGCTCCTGGGGAGCCAGCTGCCACCCCGCACTGCAAGCTCTGGTACCTCAGAGCCTGCAGCAGGGGGCGGCAGCCAGCTCCCTGGGAGCAGGGCTGGCAGCTGGAGCTGGGGCACACAGGGAGCCGGCTTATCCTATAAGCCAGCTCCCGGCACGCACCGACTGCCGTCCCTGCTCCCAGGGAGCCGGCTGCGCTGCGGACTCTGCAGTATAAGCCTCACGCTGCAGAGCCTGCAGCGTACGTAACCGCTATGATTTTTAAGTTACTTTTTCATACCTTTTTTACATACCTAGTTCCACTGTGTATTTGCATTGGAGTGCAGGCCCCAATGGAGGTTGGACTCAGGAGCAGCACTTCTGTTGGTCTTCGGGCCCCCTCTTGCCTCAGTTTCTCCCCCCCGGTCCCCTTCCATCCCAGTCATCCAGACTTTGCTCTGCAGTGACTCCCCTTCAGGGAGTTTCTGCTGCCAAGTTCTGGAGCAGCGGTGGGCACCCTGCAGCTGCGGGGCTCTAGATGCGGCCTGCGAGGCGTTTTGTTTAGTGTCCTCCACGGGCGAGGTTGCCAGATTCCGCTGGCTTCTGTCTAGTTTTTTCACCCGGTCTCCCCAAAGAGCCCTGCAGGGCAGGTGAAGGGAGGCGCCTGTGGATTGCGCACACAGTTGTCTGTGCGCGTCCCCTGCAGCCAATCAAACGGCTCGGGCACGTTCTAGCTCACCAAGCGCCGTGAGCAAAACAGCCTGTCCCGGGAGGCAGCTTTGGCTAGAACAGTCTTAGGGCCACCCGTGCGCCCGCTCCCTGGCCCAGGTTGTCTGTCGCTGCTCTGGAGGGTTACTCCACCTCCCCAGGCCTTTCCACCAGCCCTTTCCTGGCCGTTCTTGCTGTGCTCACGCCAAGGCTCCCTTGGTATCCCGCGGCCGGCCTTGCGTTTACCCGTCCTCCCGGTAAGCCTAGAATGCATGTGGCAGAGCCCCACCTCCTTAGAGGGCCAGATCCCACTGTAACACCCCCCCCGGTGCTAGTGCTGTAAATATTCCCAAATGTCCGGTGCAGTTGGCAACCCAGGTGCCCACAGAAACTGGCTCTGTGCCCCGTGTGGGCTCGGGGCCCGGGGGAGCTCTCGGTGCCCGGCCAGGCCCTGCCAGGTGAATGCTGGGCTCTCGTGGAGCGTTGTGGGGGCGGAGGGAGGGACGTGGCACCGGGAGGGCTGAGGCGTGTGCCCCCTCTGCTCAGAAATCGTGGACCAGCCGGGCGTGGACATCTTCGGCCAGGTCTACAACCAGTGGAAGAACAAGGAGTGCGTGTGTCCCAACTGCAGCCGCAGCATCGCTGCCTCCCGCTTCGCCCCCCACCTGGAGAAGTGCCTGGGGATGGGCCGCAACAGCAGCCGGATCGCAAACAGGAGGTGAGGGCCGGGGCGGGCGGCAGTGGCCACTAAGCCGAGCCCTTTTCAGCTGCCCATGACCAGTGAGCCCCCACCCATGGATGTATCCCCCCCCGGGGGAAACTGAGGCACAGGGCAGCTTAGCAGGGTACTGCGGTGAGTCTGGTTGAACTGGATGCAGAGCCCTGGAGTCCTGATGTAACCACTAGGCCGCCCTCCTTCCCTCTGAGCTGGGGCCAGAACCCAGGCATCTCAGTCCTCTTGACTTTCTAATGACTGGACCCTGCTTCCCTCCTGGACTCAGGCACCGAGCCCAGGAGTCTTGAGGCCCGTTTCCCTAGCTGCAATTAACACGGTTTTCTGCAAAACCTTCACTTGGTGAAACCCCTCTGCTCCTTGTTTTGCTCCCTGCTTCCCCCCACCCCACCATGCGGCTGTTCATGCTCAAGATGCCCCTCCCCAGACCTGGGCGGGTGGCTGTCCCTCTCCCTTGGGCCGCCTGCCCCGGGACCGGGGGGAGCAGGCCTCTGGAGCGCCCTTGTCTCTGTCTCCCAACAGGATCGCTAGCAGCAACAACATGAACAAATCCGAGAGCGACCAGGAGGACAACGACGACATCAACGATAACGACTGGTCCTACGGCTCCGAGAAGAAAGGTGGCGCGGCCGGGGGTGGGGGGCGCTTGCCTAGCGCAGGCTGTGGGCAGCGAGTGGGTCGGGGGCTCTGCTGTGCATCAGCCTTTGTGCAGGAAGAGCCAGGTCCCCACCTCCAGTGACCCTGGGGAGTGTGGGAAGCAAGGGGGGGGGTCCCTACCCAGAATCCCTTAAGCCTGGCATCCCACCAGGGCCTGCCCTTCACTTGCTCCTCTGTGGAGCAGCTGTCAGAGCCCAGCACCTCTTGCCCAAGGTCATGGGGAGGAGGGCGTGGGGCAGAGCCAGGAATTGACCCCCCAGTGCCTGAGTCCAGCCCAGAGCCCCCGGCCTGTCCTGCCTCTCCTGGGGGCGGGGCTGGGAAAGAATCTTACCTGCATCTCGTTTAGGGGAGGGCATAGACCCAGAGGCTCCGGTCTCCCTCCTGTGCCCCCCGGCTCTGCTCTGTCGGCGGCCAGGCTGAGAGGTGCACCGGGGAGCTGGCAGCACAGCGCGCGAGAGCCTGTGGCCGTGTGTTTCAGGCCCACAGGAGCTGCCCTGGGAGCAGCCTGTGGGGCAGCCGGCGCCGAAAGGGTTCAAGCGAAGCAGCGTGGGGCTCGGCTTCTCCTGGGCCTGGCCATCCTGTCTCCTCGTTTCCCACCCCGGCTCCTGTGGACACTTGTACCCCTTTTCCCGGCGCTCCCGTGGGACGTGGGGGGCAGGCTCTGTGGCTGGTTGGATGTTGTGTTGGTGACGCCGTCAGGGCTAACGACCGTTCTTCCTTTCTCCTTCCCTTCCTAGCAAAGAAGCGGAAATCCGATAAGGTATGTGCCGCATGGCCTACAGCTGCCCACAGCCAGCAGCATGTTTGCAGGGGTGGTGCACCCCCACCTGTGCCTCAGTGCCCGCAACAAAATTTATTCCCCACCTGGATGGGGGGAAAAATAAAGGGAGCTTTGCCTGTGGCTCCTCCAGCCGCATGGCACCGGGGCACGGGACATGCGGTGTGCGCTGTCCCAGCTTCCTGCTGCCGGTTCCCTCCCCGGGGCTGCTCTGGTCCCGCGAGCGTTGCGAGGGAGTGTGGTTAGCGCCATGTGGCGTGGCCGGCTCTCGTCTCCAGCTAGTCTGTGGGGCTGGGGAGGGGGGTGATGAGCAGCCTGGTCCCTAGAGAGTGGAGGATGCTGTTGGTGCAGCAAAGCCCCAGGCATTGGATGGGTGGCCCATAGGCCCCGTTGTTCTGGTCCCAGGTGAGTCCGTTCCCTTGGCTAACCAGGGTGGGGAGTGTGGCTGAAAGTGTGGCTGTCCCTGAGGCGTGGCAGGCAGAAGGGCAGGGACGGGCCAGGTACGTTCTCTCTCCCCCCAAAGCATCTGTCTCTCGTTGCAGAACCCCAACTCGCCCCGGAGATCGAAATCCTTAAAACACAAGAATGGTGAGTGGCGAGGGGCCGGGACTTAGCTCCCCACAGCCCAGCCGACTGAGCGGATGTCTCGGGGGGGGCGCCCCGGTGCCGTCAGCCCAGCCCTGGCAGCAACTGTGGGGCAGGCGGGACCGACGCTGGCCGAGCCGCGCGGCAGGGCGATGGCCGTGCCAGGCTGGAAGAAGGAGCAGGAGGGTGGCAGGGCATTAGCCTCGGGGGATCCCCTAGCATAGTCTGGGCTGCTGGGTGCCCCAGGAGGATCCAACGTCCTGGGCTGCTGAGCTGCTCCCTGTAGGTCCCTGGCTCTCCCCGGAGAAGCTGATGGCTGCGGCTGAGCTGCTCCTGGAGGATCCTGCAGGAAGTGTGGGTGCAGGGCTGCCAGCGGCCGCCGGACACCCTGGCTCACATCTCATGGTGCCCACTGACTAGAGCTCCTCTAAAAGGGGCCTGGGGAGAGGGGGCGGGCGTTTGCCCAGGGCCTCTCCCAAATGTTCCTGCTGCCTGCTCACTGGCTTCCTTGGTCCTGCCATGTCCGGTTTGAGGCTCTTCCCTCGCTCTGTTCCCTTGTGCCTGCCCCTGCCCCCTCCTGCCCTTAAACCCGCTTCTCCTGGGAGCCCCTCCTACACTCCCCCTCCGGCCGGGGCTGTGTCCGGCGCCGTGGATGTGCAAGGCTGCGGGAGGAGGGGCTGCTTGGTGACACTGTGCCCAGGGAGGGAGGGAGGGGGCGTGGCTGCTGTTTAAGCCCCCATCCCTCCCTTTGCCCAAAGGGACGTTTCTCATCATCTCGTCCCCCTTTTCAGGGGAGCTCGGTGGGAACTCGGATCCCTTTAAGGTGAGTGTAGGTGTGAATCCGTGTTGGGGAGGAGGGAAGCATGGCCCAGTGGGTAGGGTGTCTGGCTGTGACTCAGACCTTCCCCTCCCTGTGCCTCGGTTCCCGGACTGGAGGGCGTGAAGAAATTCCAAGGGGGCGGGGGCGTGAGGCAACCCAGCCCCCCCTCCCAGCGCACATCTTGTGTGTGTGTGTGTGTGTGTGTGTGTGTGTGTGTGTGTGCGCGCGCGCGCTCAAGTTTTTTTGGACGGGGGTGGGCAAGAGGGTTTTTCAAAAATCATAAAGGGGGGGGCGTGATGCTGAACGGTTTGGGAACCACTGATCTTGTGTGTGTAGCTTTGAAGGGCTGGTTCGCACCGTGTAGTTGTGGGGTCTTGCTCTGGGGCCCTCACTACAGCGATATCGCGCTGCGCCCCTGAAAATGCTTGTGATGCTCCGTCACCCTCGTATTTCCCTGCAGTACAGCAATTCTTCTGGAATCAGCTACGAAACGCTGGGTCCTGAGGAGCTCCGCTCATTGCTCACCACGGTGAGTTGCCTCCTGGGGGGGAATCGGGAGGGAATTTTCCCCCACCCTCCTCTGTGTGGGGGCCAGGGCTCCTGGTTCTATCCCCGGTTCAGATGCTACCGGGGGGGGGTCTGTGGCCCAGTGGCAGTCGGCTGCCCAGGGTGGGAAGAGCTAAGATCTGGAAAGCAGTCGGAGCTGGACAGTCGCTTTCCTGCTCTGCTTGGGGCATGAGCAATACAAGTAGCCAGGGTGGGAGGCAACACAACTAGGTTGCTCCAATTCCTGTGAGACCAAGCCTATGAGTTGGGGGTCTAAGGATCTAGGGTCCAAGTAAAAATGCCCATGCCTCCTCCCCTGCTCCTGGGAGTTGTACTGGACCTAGCCTGGAGCTAGTAAGTATCTAACGCTCCGAGCGACCGCTCCTGCCCTCCGCTTCCTGGGGGTCTTGACTCTGGAGTGTGTCTCCCAAGCCCTTCCTCTTGGGCACTGCTCCTTGTTCAAAGGCTGCCTACCTTGGACACGGTTGCCCTGTCCCTGCAGTGAAAAGCCAGCCGCTGCCCCCTGCTGGGCTGGCAGCAGCAGCAGCAAAACTGACCAGTCTAGTTGGATTTATGTAGGGACGTGAAGGACTAGTCGACTTATCCCATAAGCATTTGCTTATCGGCAATTGACGGGCTGTTCGACTAGTCGTGCCCCCTCCCCCCCCACATCAGAGACAAGAAAGGGGGGGGAGAAGAGGGGGTACTTCAAAGCGGCAGCGTTGCTTGAAGCCTGGGCCCAGATGCCAGGCTCCATGCGACGCTGCTGCTTTGAAACGCCGCATGCAGCCCAGGGCCAGCTGGGGTTGTCCCCAGGATGCAAGTGGCGTTTCAAAGCGGCAGCGCTGCATGGAGCCTGGGATTAGCTGGGGACTCTCCCGCTGACCCCGGGCTCCCTGCGGTGCTTTCGCCTTTGAAGTGTAGCAACGGCCACATGGAACAGTCAAAATGCATCCACGATTCGATTAGTCAGTTCCCTGATACTTAACATCCTTCGTTAATGCTGCAGCGGTTTGACGGTGCCTCTTACAGCAGCAGAAAGGAGGAGTCCTGTGGCACTCTAAAGACTAACATGGATTTGGGTGAAGACCCACTTCCTCACGAAAAGGGAGTTGCTTCCTCGAGAGCAGTGTTTCCCAATTTTATTTGGCCACGGAACCCTTTTCAGCTTAAAATAATTTCAAGGAA